AAAAACGTAAGTAAAACTACGCGTTTTTTAAATTGTACCTGACCTTTGCCATTAGACTGACATGTGTATCAAATTGATACAGATTTTTCCAGCCATGCGAGGTCATGTGTATAATTCTGATGCACGCGCTGTAGTCTTGTTCTAGGTCAGTGTATAGTCTTAATACACGTTTTCCAATTTCCTAACCTGATAAGTCGACCTTGACATCTGAGTGTAACATATTGTACGTAGCATTTTGATTTTCATCACTAGAGGACGGAAATGATGCATTTCTAATATTTCCTCTGTCGTAAAGTTATGAAACTTAGAGAAGCGAAAGAACGGGCGTGGCCTGGCAGAGTAAATTTGACATTAACATACGAAGCAACGGTTTAAAGAGGTGATTTTCTTAACATTTTTGTTTAAGGCAAAGATTTCTATCATCTATTTTATAGTTTGGGAATGTTAAATTTCTGCAATTTTTGAAAATGTGGCCAGTTTGCCAAAAAAGTGATTAACTCCATTTTTAGCGGATGAATTTTAATTAATAACAAGTAGCATTTAAAAGTATGTAATACAAAACATACAAATAAAAATGAATTATAAACTTAAATACTATAGTTAGTCAATAAATAACTGTTTATTTAGCTAAAGATGAAATATTTTTAATGCCAAAATATATTAAAATTTTTTAAACAATGTTGTGGAATTCCAGGAACCAAGAACAATATGAAAATGGGAACATTTTGAGTTTTTTATCTATGTAAAATAAAAATTGGTGATAACGTATTTTAGGATTTTAACTTGTCGAGCACGAGCGTATCACTCGGGTACAATTATTGTATGTGCATTTACATAGTTGTTGGCTTTTAATCGTTAATAATATGGATTTTGTTTGCCATTTCTTTAATATACAGTAGAAGGAATTAATTGAATTTTGGGGCTTTTAATGGAAGTATATTAAAAAAGAAACTACGTACTCATGATTCATAATTTTTTTAACTTCCATTTTAATACGCTAATGTAGCGGCAGTATCAATTTCATCTTGATGATGCCCGTATCATGCCACTCGTAATATATACAGGATAGTTGAGAATAAACTATATAAACATCTAGGGCATGTAAAGGTGATCGGTTTTGCAACCGAATATGTGTTTAGAAATGCCATACAATGAAGTGATTTTTCTACCATGCGTCTGTATTGGACAACCCATTGGTGTTCGGTATGTACACGAACACTCAGCGGACGACTGCTTACTGACAGTGTTTGTTCATCTCTCTGGAACGCCGGTGCAGGAAGTGTTGCCTACCACTTAGGGGCGCCCGGTCAGAAAAGATCACGTTCCTTTAAAAACCACAAAGTTCAAAGAAACAAATTTCACAGGGAGATTTCCGATCGTCATAAGGTGCCGAACGTACCTGCCACGCTCTCCGACCCGTTGCTGTTCGTTTGTGGAAGCAAAGTGTCTTTATCTTGTGCCACGAGTTCGACAGTTTTTAAAAGTTCAGTTTAGTTATATATATATATATATATATATATATATATATATGTGTATATATATATGTGTATATATATATATATATATATATATATATATATATATATACTGCTCTGGCAGCTACTAAGTTGGCGTTATGAATTCTGAGTACAAGGGAAACATAACCCCAGTCTCTTCCAAAATGCAAACTGAATATGATGAAAATATGACATACGCAAACGTTACGTGTACGTGTGTTGTCCCCTGCAAGGAATAGACTGGTGTGATCGAGTCCCAAGATAGATTAACTCTCAAAGACTACATTACTAAACAAGCAACCATCATTGACGTCGGAGATTTAAGGTTCGCTTTGCGAATATGTAATAATAGAATATGTTTCTAATAGTACACAAGTGGCAGAAAACCTTACTGAAAACTACTTTAACCATTAAAGACCACGTAGTGAGTGCAAATCCCCTTAGTAATAAACTCAAAAGGGTTATGATTTCAAAAGTTTGTTCATTAATACTACATGACATAACTGCAAATGCACTCATCAAAAGAAAAATAAGTTAATTCAAAATTTTCGTTCCTTAAAAATGGAAATTTTCGTTTCTTGTACCTGACCCTGGCTTCTCTCATTTTACGAATTCTAGGAGACAAGTATATACTGAAGAAGTAAAGGAGCTCTCTGAAGCAAGAGTATTCTACGAGATAACTAATTACAGAAACGTTCCAGTAACTGACGATATGTTCTGGTTCTTGTGCAAAACAACCGATAATCTTGTTACCCCGTGCATGTGCCCCGTGTACATCCGTGCCCCAGTCAGATGGGGACTCGGTTCCTAAGAAAGTAAACAAATCTTCTACAACCCAACTACCGCATCATCTTTCTAAATATTTTGAAATACATCACCAATCTGAAGAATCTCCTATCAATAATATAAATTCCCCAAGTCTACAAAATAGAGCTTTACCTTTGGATTGTCCATCACAGTAGAAACAAAAAGACAAGCCTCAACGATGTAAAAATGAATTCATAAACCCTATCAAAAAAGAAAAAGAAGAAGAAACAAGACAAAAGTGAAGACAACACTATACATGATAATGCTCACATCAAGAAAGTGGGAGACGTTTTTGCACCTATCAAAACTATTATCACTAATAACCCTATTTCATCTAGAAAACGTTCTCAAACATTCTTTTGGCTGAAAGAACCTAGTTATTACAGCCAAAGATAACCCTGATTGCATCCAATCTATTATTAAAATGCTTAATAAAATTTCCCCTTACTGAATGAAAGTTAATTAAACCAGAATCACAAGAATAATTAATAAACTAAAGAGAAATAACCAATTACAAAAAGAGTTCAGAACTGACATGTCTACAAAAAATCACAATTATTTTTAAAAACATTTATGAGTAGTCTTTGAAGGAATGTAGACGGGTACTATTGCAGATTAGAAATACAAGTAATACGTGTATACCATAGACTTTAAATCACTTGCATTCAGGAAATCAAAATTAAGGCCAACAGTGAAGGTGATATAAATGCATATAAAGAAATTCATAAAAACTTACTAACATCCAGCGTATCAAGGGAAGTGTTGCAACCTGTGTTAAAATGTCTTAACATTAATCTTGACATCCAATGCAATACTGAAGTAGTTGCTACTATAATTCAAATACATACTCCTGTGTGTTTCCTAAGATTTAGCAAAATGGTACCTATAACTTTGAAGATAATGAAATTAAAGACATAACTAAGCAACCCCCAAACCTTTTGTACTTCTTTGAGATTTTAATTGACACAACACCATATGGAGTTCAAAAGTAAATAAATCGAATTAATAATTTCTCAGAAATCGTTTTAAAATATGCTAATGATTGAATCAAACTGATAAAATCGTTAAACTGACACAATCGGTCTCTTGGAGGAATTAAAAATGCAGAGAATCTATAATACGAACCCACCGTGGTTTTAATATACATAAAAATCGAGTTACAGAAGAAAAAAAAATTGAATACAAATTAGTGGTGCTAAAACATCACAAGCTTTGTCGTTCTTAGTAACGGTTACATAATATTATTATACCGCAATTTCTGATCATATAAACACAACTCGATCTTTTTTTTTTTTCAAACTCATTACAAATCATAGAACATTAGGTAAAAAAAGTAATTATTTTTAAAGCGAATATCAACACAAATTCGACAATTAAATACGTATTTTAGCCTTAAAAAATGGAAGTTAATAATACGACCCACATGTGGTGGCGATGGCAGTGATGGGGTTCAGCTCAGTCACCGCGGTGCTGTTGCGTTGAGTTGTAACCATGTCATAAACATCCGTTCAGTATGACGGCCTACATCTCTACTTTTAATGTATTGGGGAAATATTTTGTTTTAAACTATTGCAAAGGTGGAATTAAATAAAACATTGTCTTATTCACGTAATCTTTAAGTGCTTTTAATCACTCGGCTGCTCAATCGACTCGCCTAACCCCGCGTCGATTTATTACCCATCCTCTCAATTAAAAGGTCATTTAGATTCCTGATATAATAATATACTGTTAATTTCTGCCTGATTTTCATTTAGGTCGGATGGTATGGGAACGCTTAATCTGACACGCAACAGAATAAACGAAAAGATTTTATTCATTCTCATATAAATAACAAAACAAAGCATATCAAACACACTATCAAATAGAAGGTTTTCTGTCCTCTCCTTGGGCACATTTTTTCTTGTATATCACAGTTTAAAATAATTAACAAATGTCCTAAAAATAGCACGACACCTATTGCGTTGAGTAGACACTCACTTACGTAACAATTCATTTAACTGGTTCATGTTACAGAGGCTGTTTATACACATTTGTCGTTATTAGGAATGGTATTCCAAATGCCATAGAAGCAGAGAAATCCTGACATTATTAATTTGTTGTTTTCCCTATGTACTCTTGTTGGAAGTGTTTTAATACAACTAAACAGTCCTCTTTATCTTTAGGAATTAAAATATTCCTTGACTACTAGTATTCAATAGTGATGATTGCGTTCAACAGAATAATTTTTTGGTTATTTTATCTCGTATTTTCAATATTTTACCTGTAAAAATTATTTAGTACCTAATTTATTTTTAAAACACATAATAAGCATTAATTTTTAAATTAAATAAATAAATATCAATTAAATCATCATTACTGAATTGGCATGAACTTGCATTTTCATAAATACAGTGCAGATTGAAAATTATTATTGCAATAAATAATTACAAATATGTTTATCAATTTCCCGAGAACACACACGGGACAGGCAAGGACATTTCCTTGAGGTGTGCCTTTCTTTACTTGAGAGACTAACAATCCTCCAGTTCAATCCACCGATGAGAAACGAAAACAAGTGAACATTTGAATGTTTCTTTAAACCAAGAAATGGCAACATCATTTTAAGGAATGTCATCACGTAATAATATTTGACCATAATACAAAACATAGCAGTGAATTATACATTTTTTAAATTGTATACATTGTTCAAAGTATAAATTAACGATTACTGATCAAAGTACTATGACGTAGCGCGACTGCGCTCAACAAAATTCGAAATTTCCTCCAAATCCTATTACATGGACAATAATTCAGAGACTCGATATTTTCGAAGAAAACAGTATCGATCGACACTGAAATGTCTGTTCTCAGTAGTTTGAAATGCGAGCATTCTCGGCTTTCCCACCGCGTGGATGTTCGCGAGACAGTGAGATCGAGAGCTCGCAGGACGAGGGTTGAGACTGTGGTACGCAGGCTGGGGCACACTGGGCACGCAGGCTGTGGGCGGCGTGTCTCGCCTGGGCTCTTCAGTCGACGCAGCGACAGACGTCGTCCATGTTGCGGTTGATCCACTCCAGGTAGCGCCCCACGCGCGTGTACACGCCCGGGTAGCCCGGCCGGCCGCAGCCCACGCCCCACGACACGATCCCTGGAACAAGACGGAGTCGGTTGAATCCGGCGACGAGGGAAGCGTTGAGGCCCGTTCACAATGCAAACATAACCATAGGCATATCATAAAAGTTATGACTAAGTCCATAAGCGGACTCATTCACAATGCGTTCGCATAAGCATAACACGAAAGACGTTAACTTAAAAGCTTGCAAGCTTCCGTGCTTATGCTTAAGCAAGACATACGAAATGAACCAATCCCAGAACGGTAACTCAAAATCGAGAATCGAAATTGGAGCAAAGTCGATAGAAGAACTAACGCCATATGGGTCGATACCTTGAAATCGATTCTCACATCCAAGCAATAGTAAACCAGAATGTCTCACAGCCAATAGAAACTCTTATTTTGCTTACGTTTATGTTAGACATTGTGAATACTTCAGTCTATCACTTATGTTAATGTTTATGTCTATGCGCTATGCTTATATTTACGTTTGCATCGTGAATGGACCTTTAGGGGTCAATCTTCCTACACGAAGCGCTGCATTGAAATACCAACTCACTGGTTCATGCGACTTGTAATTTAAAGGTTCCGTTTCTTAACTTTGTTTCTTTTTCCGTTTACTTTCTTACTCTAACTTCGTAAGAGAAAGTGTTTTAATGGTGCGTCCGAAAACGGCGTTTTCGACAGAAGTTCTCTTAGTGCCGGTCCCTGGTAAGGAAAAAATCGATAAATCTACATCCTATTTTCAGTAAATAACTATTACTAACTCGTTGTGTAGTCCGAATCCATGTTTTGTGGGACACTGATACCGAAAACTCGATTGACCGCAAACTGTCTGGCTCTGAGGTCAACGCTACCGCATAACCGTTCAGCCGATTTTCTCCAAAATTGATATTCGTCAATCGATTTAAATGAACTAGGGAGCATACGGACGAGAGTTGGAAATGGATATGTTCAATGGGGGCGTTTGACATGAAACCTCAACAACATTTTCAACATTTTCTCAAAAATAGTGCTAATTTTTTTCTTGAATAATTAAAGGAAATTTGGTCTATCACAAAATTGAAACAAAAAAATAAGAGCCTTTTTAGAGAAAATTTTGAAAATGTTGACGCTTTATGTAAACTTTATGTAATGATCCTATACATCAGAATATCCATTTTAAATTCAAGGAGCCGCGATATCAGTCAGATCGATTTGAGAATATGCATTTTGGAAAAAAACCTACCTACGGTTTACTGCTAGTTTTCAGTCAGATGGATGGACAGACGTTTTTATTTTGTTGTCATTGACATTTTGACCTCAAAGACCCACCAAGCATGTATTCTGACCACAACTGAACGTGTTAGAGGAGGTAATTTATTACATATAACAACAAAAAGTATTGCCCTTTCGTTACGAGGGGTCTGCAATAAGAGTTTTTTCTGTCAAAAAATCGCCGTTTTCCCCCTACAGCATTACAGTACTTTCTCTATTCTGCGTAACCAGTAGATAAGGTAGTAATATACTATCTATCTTTTATAACATATTTGGAGGTGATCGAAAAAATTAAACATGTTCAATTTTCGCAAATTTAGAGGGCGCAATGACAAGCAGACCTGCAATTTTTATAAGAGTACTATCGATCCCTACAATGTTTCGATACTGCCGTGAAGAAGTAAATACAATTCAAGTTCAATATAAATGTATTCAATGAAAATTAACTATGTATTAACTACACTTTAACTACGTATTAACTACTCTCTTTTTATATTACACTACACGTTAAAAAGCTAATATTCGAATAATGTTGTGCACCGCCAGCACTTGGTTCAGACTTCTGTTTCTAAAAGATGTCTACACATAAAACTTCAAGCAAGGTCCTCTGGGAAGGATGTAGAGCACACCTAGTCGATTAACATTGCAAAATTAACGCCCCCGCTTGTCCGATTTCATTGAAACCTCTCTTTAAATACTCTTGATTCTAATAAATACAAAGGGTGAAAATTTCAGAGAAATCGGTGGAGTAGGTTTTGCATCTATATGCGACATACATACGCACATTCCCTTTTATTTTTAATGTAATTTTTGATCTTTGAGAAAACATCTAAAGAAAAAATTTGAAACTATTTTCTTTTAAAAGATATAAAATTTTAGGTCTTTATCTACAGTGATATCCACTTTTTCGGAATCAGGTACCTACAAAACTAGTATTTCTGTGGAAATTTGAGCTCGCTTCCCTGCATCCTTACAATACTTTATAACACGTAACGGTAGAATATATCATGCACGTCGTTAACAAAGAAGTACATAAAAAATAAAATTTCCATTTAATTGCAATATATTCTCCTTCATGATGTTTATACCCAATATTTTGAATTCCCCAGTACTGGAAATTAACTAAAGAAATGAAAGAAAATATATTGAAATTATTGCTCTGGAGCAGCAAAAATGTCGTTAACAAAAGCACACAAAACGGTTTTCCCAAAAGTAGCCAGTACACTGCTCCAGAACAACAACATACAACAGAATACAACTCCGTAATAAATTAAGTATAGAATATAGTTCAGCGTGAACAATGTACTGTACAAGGATTCTTTGTATACCAATAAAATCAAACACGTTGATGTTCCATAACACAACACGGGAATAGCAAATATTTAATAGCTGGTGGTCTCCTCCTTAAAGCATTGCTGTAACATAACATCAACTGTGTCGAAGCAATGACGCAGTGAGTACTTGAATTTACTCGGTTCCCCTAATGTGAGAATAGACTAAATAACAATAAATATATGGATTTTTTCAAGCAAACTCGAGACTGTTTCTTTGTTTTGTATTTTTCCCTAGATCATGTGTATCTAAATTTAGACTTATCTCACACGGCCGAAGTCTATACAGCTTTCTTTCAATTTCTGCGCACATTGTAAATTATAAATATAGATATAACATTTTACAAAATAATTGAAACTGCAAGGCCATTATGAAGTTGAAATCACTGAACAAATAGATAAGAAGGCATAGAATTGCGAGTACGTGACGCAGCAATTTCTGCAGATCACTTTCTTAGCGGTGAGGTAGCGATGACTGGCAAATATGTGACAAAGAACCGGTCTCCGTGTAACGCCCATCCCCAGACGACCAAGAGGCCAAGCCTCACACAGATGCCACTACACCATCACTCCCAGTTTTGCTTTCACATTTTTCACTTTCACCCGCATCGTATCAAATAGCAAACCTTGCCTCTCGTCGCTTGGGAATGCAAACGTCCTAAGGGGCCAATAAAGGACATTCGCGTACGAGAGAAGAGGTTTCGTTGGTGTTTCCTAAGAGAAATGATTTTTTTTATTGACTTGAGGGAACAGTAGTTCATTAGCTAATCCTGCGGTCCATGTTGTGCAAAAATACTAGAGAACACGAAAATTATAAGCACAATGGTTCTACGATAATTTCATAATCGCATGAACATTTTGAAATTGGTTGAAATATCATTGAAACTGTTGAAATCGTGTTTTATTCTTTTTCCTCGCGTTCATCCCGTACAGTTGTACCCCCCTCCCCAAGGCTTTCCACGGGCGTATGCTTATTAAGAGGGGTAGGGGGGTTAGAACTGTACATTCTCCCCCACGGTTCAACTCTGGTTTGTAGAAGAGTTGGTTGTTATGGGTGATTATTGATGGTTCTGAGGATGAGAAGTAGAAGTGGAAGGAAGGTTCCGGGCACGCTGCGTGGTCCGTTATATATAGTGTTGCTCCAGCATGAAATTGATCGGGGAAATCACGGAATCCAGAGATCAGAGCAGTCGGACTAAGAATTCGTTCCCCGCAGTTGCTAGTAACTCACAGACTTTAAGCTGTTGAATGCAAATTCTAAAAAGTAACTTGAAGTTGAAGAACTGCGAACGATTTACTTTAATTCTCTATAGTAGTAATACTTGAGGATTTCACCTTCACCATGTTTTGTAGTATATCTTCCAGTTTTTATTTTCTTATTTCCAGTTTCTAATTTTGCCATTGCAAACTACTTACATCCATACTGCAAATTTCCATTAATTATAGTGATCAAATGCAGGCTTACTTTCATGTTTTCACAATTACTAACAATCATCTTGTCAAATAGTATGGGTAACTTTTAAATTTGAGAATTTTTAAGTGTCTAATGGAATAAAAAATCCAAGATATAAAAAAGGCTTATGCATCACAAAATTATTTTGGCAATACTCACCTACAATTTCATGTCGATCGTCAGCACGTCCTACTAATAATGGACCTCCGCTGTCTCCCTGGAACAGAAAGAAGATATTAAAATAAAACATTAGCAGTCAGACTGTTCGTATAAAAAAATTGCAAGTAAAATTTAATACCAACACAGCACTTGAATGATATAAATTCAACTAAATGATAATAAATTATATAAATACATTTTATTTTTCTCTAACATAATGTGTAATCAGAATCCAATTTTGTTTTGTAGGTCATATATAATTTGGAAAATTTGGTTTTGGACAAAACGTGTCTCTATTTGTGCGTCTCTCCATGTATAAACCACGCTAGCCCATAAACTGCAGGCATATTTTGATTTTCTCCTATCCATATGGTTGACGTCACGGCTCCTTGTATTTGAAACAGATATTTGAATTATGAACCTTCACGTCATCTCGAGGACATTTACAAACTTTTCACGAATATTTTTTCAAGTTGTTTTTCTTTATATTTCCTTAGAAACAGCAAATACGCTTTTAAAAATTGCGCAGATTCTATTTTCATTGATCTCTTAAATTTTCGAAAATTATAAAGTTTAATTTTTATCCAGCGTCTTGTTATCTACAAATATTTTTAAATCTTTTTTTAATTTTCATTTCTGCATAATTACAACTTGGCACATTTAGCTAATGGTACCTAAAATCACATAAATAAATAATCAAAATTACTCTTTTAAATGTTAGGTAAGTCTAAAATGTTTGTTTTTTAATTCTCTTAAGTCTGTCGATGTATAAAAGTGTATTGACTAATGTCGAGCGGTTAAAAAATAATTAATTGATTAATGTGCTTGAAATTTTTTTCTGGTACATTTGACTTCTCTGGGTGATAAGATCGTCTAGCTGAGTTATGTAGAGGTCTTTATAAAGCGTCTTGCTTGTAACGAACCACGAGGCAATGCAGAGACTTTTTAAAGTTTTAATTTTGAATATTCCAAGAAATTGTAGATTCTATTTGAAGACAGAACCCCATAACTAAATACCATAAGTGCATGTTGTTTTATAACAATATTGAAGAAAGAGATTTTACTCCTAATGAAAATGAGATATTTTTAGATGTTTTTCAAAATTAGATGGTTAAATGTCATATACAGTTGTTTTTTCAAAATATTAGTAGCTCTTGCATAATTTTGAGCGAAGTAGAGGCAACTTTAAAAACATGATTTTTCAAAAAGTCTCCCGTGTCTTTAAACTTTTCAATTGGATGGTACTAATTGACTGAATAACATAACAAAAACGTTAATTTGATAAAATCTAATCTTTCAAAAATGAAACAAAGTAAATAAACAAGGCAAAAGAATAAAAAAATATTTTATTTGAATATTTCCCTAATAACATTTAAATTGCTATAGCGTAGAAGGGTTATAATGTTTACTAGCCCGAGCAATCATCCCCTTAAAAAAAGGCTACCTTTTGTCGGATGGAAAGGGCAGAGAGGTTGAATTTCTCACAGAAGTACAAATTTTCTTATGTCAATTGGTTGAAATTTTATTATCTTCCAAGGTTAAAGTAAGATCAAGCTAGTCCTGCACGTGAAGAGAACAGTAACTAGAAAGAGAAAGTCTGTGACATTCTGCAGCACCTCTAGGAACTTTCTACGTAGCACTACGTAGTAAAAGAAGTATGGAACGCTTCAAGATAAAGTGCTAATCTTTTAAAGAGAAACACGTTTTGCTGACCTCTCATGAGATAAAGTGGATTTTCATTACCCATATTCGAAGTAAATTACTTTCTCGTACACCTGGAATTCAAATTCTGTTGATCTTTGATACAAAAACCGTTTTCTCTCAAAACTCTCATTTGTCATTGGGTCTGTGAACAAGATCAACGCCTAAACAACATAGGATTTTCACCCAAATTAGTAAACTCGATCGATCTGGTGATGACGCTGCCCCGCTGGGAAATTCAAACGGATCTTTTAATTACTGGTTATTATTTATGACAGATCTTTAGAAATTTTTCGAAATGTTGTGAAAAATGGCTTTAACATTTTTAATTTTTTTTTTTCGAATAAATTGCAGTTAAAAATTTGCGTAGATTTTATTTACAGTAAAACTTACTTTTCAATACAGCATTACATAACTTTCAAAGTAGACACGAGAAAGTAAAAATTTACCTTTCTTTCCTTAGACACAGTAACATCAATAAAAATATTACAAGAAGGAAATCTAAATCAGTATGTTAATTGAGAAGACCTATAATGAAAATATCGAGCAACGTTTTCTGTAACTTCTATTCATTTCTGGAAAATTATTCTTTTATACTCGTATGCGAGTGTGACGGCAGGGTGAGTGTTTTAAAGTTAAATACACTTCCATGTATTTCTGCTGTCGCTACGAATGCTGCCGAATGTCAGTGATGCAAATCGTAATTGTAAAATGTAGCCTCGACTTAAAAACAGAAAACTAACTGAGAAAATCACTTTGCATCGCCTCCTACTTTCTCGTATGTTATCTAGTACCTAACAAGTTACGTAATTTTACAAAAAATTCAATATCGACATTTTGACACAAACGTACGTTTTTGGGTCCCCTGATACCGACAATGTGGTTTCTGAACGTCTCTGTTTGCCTGACTCACTGACTCTCCATCCTCGCGTCCCAACGCCCCTACGTTCCTCCATCGCTCCACCGGAGCTGACAGCTTGTCCCGCCAGGGTCGATGCCCCGCTGGTGGGAGTTATCCGGAAATTGGGAAATCCTGCAATATGTCGTTTATGTCGGCGCCGGATCTCGCTATCCAGAGAAGGGTCATCGCTAGCGATAAAAGTGTGCACTTCACTTAGGAGAATAAACCTTTCCAACATTTCGTCCTTCCGTTTCTCTGAATCTCCATCCCTCATCCCTCTATCTCACCGTTCCTTCCTTCCTCCGTCTCTTCATCCTTATTTCTCTTCAAACCCCGAGTCTTCGTCCCTCCGTCTCTCCACCCCTTTGCCATCCATTCCTTCGTTCATTCCTCCCTCCGTCTCTCCGTCCTTATCTCCGTTCTTCCTTCCCCCCGTCCTCCAGTCTCTAAGTCCCACCGTCACTCCTCCCCTCCAACGCTTCTCCGTCCCTTTATCTCATCGTCTCTTTGACATTCCACCATTCCGCCCCTGCGTAGCTCTATCAGTCCGTCTTGCTGTCCCTTTACGTGAAGCAGTCTAATTAAGTGCGTCTATTTAAATGTTCACCTTGAACTCATGTGCTGCTCCGAAATCAGGGGTTCCCAAACATTGTGCGAAAGCTGTGGATTGGACCCAACAACGTTTGGTATTTTACAAATGATCTTTTATTAAACTAAGAACATTATAATATCAATTTACGTTTATTTCAAGATAACACAAATGTTATTAGTAATTCAAGCATATCTACAGTGGTATTGCAGATAAGATGGTAAATAAGAATAATAAAAATAATACTGTATTTGGTAAAAGTACTTTTTACTCGGCTCCTAAGTCCACTACAGTAGTACCCCCACTACAATTTGTAAGGTTATTTTTGAAGAACAAATATTTTCGAAGGTACTACATTACTTTTTTAGGTCTCGGATGAAAATTGCTAAGTTTTTATTCCTCCCCCTCATCACTACCTACTATTCAACCCTGTGCAATAAGAGCGTCTACTTCTCGCCGCAGGCACACCGTGCTCTAGCTTGCCCTGGTGACAGCAAGCCAGCTTCGTGCACATGCGTGCTCTAGTTCTAGAACGACAACGTAGCATCTAGGTGATGTGAGGAGGAGAGAAAATTAGTTGCTTTAATTACATGTTTCGTAATTTTAAGTATTTTATGTTCTTCTATCTCCTTCGATTTTAGCATGACCACTGTCAATTCAAAAGGCACTGCATGTGGATCAGCAACATATTAACGCAAATAATCCTTGCTTTTATGAGACAATTAAATATTATTGAAGGGATGGCGACAAAGTACTGATATTGATTTCACACATGCAAAATGAAGTCCTTTGAATATCCCTGAAACCCCTACATTATCCGTTACTATACAAGACTTGCAATACGTTTATGGAAAGGTAAATAATTGAAAGTATAGATGTTAAGTCATAAGTCCAAAATATGGCAAGTTCTAGAAGTATCCGTATCGCACATTAGCTATAGCCCGTAGTATCGCACATTAGCTACAGGCTGTGGATAAATTCGGTTGAATGACTATGAATAAATCATTTAGAACAACATGCGGCTAGTAGTGGCACTAGCCAGAGTGCGCTGAGTAAAGTAAGGTGATTGTTTCAGTGTGAGGCGTGTTCGCAAGAAAGATTTTGGCATACAAATGCTAGAGTATGCGGCTGGAGTAACTGATGTAGACGGACGTTAGCCCGATGAATTCCGTGATGGTTCCCCCCTACGTCACATGATTTTTTGACTGTATAAATTTAAATCTAAATCTAAAACGTTATTCATGCAGCTTTATGGACAGCGTCTAGCTAATGTGAAACTTAACCGAGCACTTCTAACATTATCGATATTCCATATTTGTTCTTAACACTTCCACATCCACACGAGACAGACTGAAAGGCTGAACAGACTGAATGGGCTGAACAGCTGAGTGGAGCTCAAAGACCACGTACTTTCTCGCTCGTATTTCCATGCAAAGTTGTACTAAAATCTGCGTGTAATGTACTCACATTTTCGAAAAATTGTACAGGTACTTATTTCAAAATCTATATTTAAGGAGCAGATTTCATTAAGGGAAAAAATCTCAATCTTTAATATTTTAGTTGTTAGAAGACTCCGAAAACAGTTTGAACTTTTGCAATTTTCAAAAATGTACGGTTTTCAACGAACATGAGACCTGTACTATTCTCTTAAATGTCCAACACACAATCTAACAATAAAACTTAAGCAGAAACGTTGAAGCAATATTTTTGAAACTCTGTAAAATGTCCTGTGGCCGTCATGTAAAGTACCCTCTAAAAATAAAATATCTGTTACAAATTCAAGGAGCCGCGACATCAGCCACATGGATTGAAGAATATCAATTTTGAATAAAATTGGCTGAACGGTTTGTCCACAGACGGACGAATAGATAGACGTTTTGCTGTTGCTAATAAGAACCAACAAAACATGGAATTTGTCTACACCACGCGTTAGAAGATTTTTTTTTCTCTGAACTGTATTTATCCAATTTTTCGTTTCCAGGCCCCTGTAATACGAGTTTTCCTGCCGAAAATTCACATTAGTAGCATTACTTAACTTTCTACTGCGTAAGCGATAGCGATAAAATAAGAAGTGCCGGGTGTGCAGCTCACCTGACACGAGTCGTGCTGCGCCTTGCCCGCGCACACCATGTTGGCGGTGATGCGGCCGGGCCGGTACTTGGAGCGTCGGCGGCACTCGTCCAGCGACAGGATGGGCACCTGCACCTCCTGCACCAGCGACGGCAGCGTGCCGCCCTCCGACGTGCGGCCCCAGCCCACCACCGTGCCCATGCGCCCCGCCGGGTCTTCGTTGCCTGCGCGCGCACACGGCCAGCCAAGCCGAGTAATTATACACGAAAACTGCACGTGGCAATCCACATTACAAGCACACAGCAATCTAATCGAAGTAATTATATAATTATACATGAAAGCTTCATATGGCAAACCACATTACATGCACACAGCAATCCAATCGAAGTAATTATACATGAAAACTGCACATGGCAACCCACACAACACGCACACAGCAATCCAGTCGAATGAAATATAAATGAAAACTGCGGCCAAGCTTCATTAAATCTCCAAAAGACATGTAGCCACGGTAAGGAAAAGACCACTTGACAAGATAAGATTAAATACGAATGAGACCAAAGTCATGGATATTAAAAAGGGCAGAAGAAAGAGTAAATTTGAGAAAATCATGTGGAAAGGAAGTATTTTGAAGATGGTGAACGATTATAAGTATTTAGGGTTTTGGCGTCATAAGGAGGAGATCTACGACAAGCACATAGCAGAAATAGGTAAGGAAGTCGTGAAACACGTGTGAAATGAATTGGATTGATTTGTTGCCTTATTTTGGCGAGTCTCAGACCATGAGGGCTGCTCTTCCGTCTGACGAAGCAAATTTCGCTGCGCTCCTTTCACCAACTAGCGGAGAAACGAGGTATTCCTTGGGCGACGAAACAGGCGATTTGAATTTAGCTCCAAGTCATCATTTAGGCTTGAGAATCTTTTACATGCAGTAAATCTACTGACATGAGACAGCCGGTTTTACTTTCCCTCTGAAGGAAGGCTTTGGAAGGATATTTTACCCTACAAATCCACGGCAAAGTTTTAATTAGTAAACCCTATGCTTTAAATAAAAGAAGATCTAGTTTTTGATTGAGTTTCATTGAATTCTTAGAAATCACTTCAATTTTCAGTTTCACGGTAGATATTAATTAATTTAGAACCACAATTCAAGAATGGAAAGAAGTAGAGAACTTTGAAAGTAATATACAAGCTTGGAAAAAATTGCAAGAGACAATACATGGAGCTACAAAGAAAAATATGTTAAATAAAAATTAATCGGTCTGAGATAAATAACTCATCAAGCCAGGAAGCGTTTGAAAGGAAAAAAGAGGGTTCCAAAGAAATATACATATTGAAAGAATGTAAAAGAAAACAACGATGGGTGTATAATGTAAATAAAAAAATCAGGGAAAATGCAAATAAAAAGAGAAGAGAAAGAAAAAGGAAGACTTGGAATTATTACATCTTAAACACAAGAATGGAGTTATATGAACTATTTTAAATGGAAGAAAAAATAGAAAACTATTTTTAAAAGTATTGAAAGGAATGTTTTAAAATTCCACTGGAAGTAAAAGAAGAAAATGTAATTCGACAGAAAAGAGGGTTGAAGAAGATCAAGAACTGACAAAATAAGAAATCAAAGAAGGTTGTTTCACAGTGCGGTTGAATTCATTCATTGATCTTCGCATTGAAAAACAGGCACTCTCTATCACTCACACACGCTTTCTCTCTGTAAACGACGTAGCATCGAATGCTTTCAGAAGATCAACTGCAACAAACACACACACACACACACACATTATACCACGTAATGAACAACCGACGGGTCTGTTCAATTAATTTTGAAATCCTATTAATTTTTAGTATTTATACCATAGGTCCATAGGTTGGTTAATTTAGCAAGCGATAACACCATTGAGCCCACTACCTTCCATTTAAAATAGAAATAATGGAATTTGAATCAGTAGTATACCGATTTTGCGCTCCGACGCGAAGGATCTCGAGTTCGAGTCCCGCCTTGGGCATGATTTTTCCCCTTTGTCTCTCCTAGATCCGTTTCGGGGAGGCTGACCCTTATCAGAGAAGCCCCCAAGTGTACAAGTGTGTATGATCGAATATGCGTCTCATCGGGACATAAAGTGTAACCGGTTGTCGGCCGGATGAAGGCTCTAGGAAAAGTGATTTGTGTTTTAATGGACCGGATTTAAGCGGTTTTCGGATTGTATGGCTAAGGTGTGCTTTAAAGCCCCTTCTTTCTGTGCAAAAAAGGCCAAACTCAAAAGTCGATCGTATCTTCTAATGTCACATGGATTACATTGGCCTATAATTGTTTTGTCATGTCGATGGTTTAAGAAAACCATCTGTTGGTACATGGGTCGCCAAATTAATTCAAATTTGGCGCCACGCTTCGAACACCTCAGTTACGCTACTCTTTGAAGGCCTTTTAGAAGAAAAGATCATACATTTCAAACTTTTCGCCTCGGGTATCGTCTAATTTGCTCAAAAAAACCGTGAATTCCTTCTCAATTGACCAAATATTCATTTTTATACAAAGGTCTTTGAAATCGACTTTCAATTGCTTCGGAAAATCACTAATAGGTTGCACCACTTGCTGGGTGGCAGCAACGAAAAGTTGCCCAGTGTCAGATTTCCTGGAATCCAATTTTTCCCCCATCAGACGCGACGAGCTCGCATTGTTTGTAATTCAGAAGATCCGCGACCATTGTTGTAGCGATCGTGCAGAGGAGCTAAGAAATACGCATATAGGACGCATTGAAAGTGTGTGGTACGTTGGCAGCAAGCAAGTATCGTGTAGGTGATCTGGGCTGTCCGGGTGACGCCGCGTCGAAGGCTGAGTTGCCGACGTTTCGACCATCCTGTCGTGGTCTTCCTCAGGGCTGGTATGACCTTGACTGATGGTCATACCAGCCCTGAGGAAGACCACGACAGGATGGTCGTAACGGACCGCCCAGATCACCCACATGACTCTGGCCGCGGAAGCCTACGACTTCAATTATCGTGTAGTTTCTTTAAACCAGCGCTCTGAGACGCAGAGCGAAAAAGCAGAAGGCATGAACACAATGAAATTCGTACGAAGAACGTTTATTTTCGTCCAGACAGAGGTAACCGTGAATATTGACATTGGCCCTTATTGCACGAAGCCACAGACATATAGTGCAGTATTTTCTGAAATGGTAGGCCTCATAGAAGAGGAAGAAGAAGAAGAAGAAGAAGAAGAAGAAGAGTAGGAAGAAGAAGAAGAAGAGCAGGAAGAAGAAGAAGAAGAGCAGGAAGAAGAAGAAGAAGAGCAGGAAGAGGAAGAAGAAGAAGAAGAAGAAGAGCAGGAAGAAGAAGAAGAGCAGGAAGAAGAAGAAGAAGAAGAAGAGCAGGAAGAAGAAGAGCAGGAAGAAGAGCAGGAAGAAGAGCAGGAAGAAGAAGAAGAAGAGCAGGAAGAAGAAGAGGAAGAAGAAGAGCAGGAAGAAGAAGAGCAGGAAGAAGAAGAAGAAGTTGTAGGGCGCCGCTTGCTCACCTTGCAGCGGGAGGCAGACGGGGCGCACGCGCTTGGTGAAGGTGACGGGCTTGCGCAGGCGCAGGAGGGCGATGTCGTGGTTGTAGTTGTTGATGTCGAAGCTGCGGTGGCGCACGATGGCGGCCACGTGCCGCATGATGGCGGGCGTATCGCCCTCCTGGAACTGGTCGTGGTCCCCCAGGTACACGCGCATCTTGGAACGCTTCAGCCTGCCGACAGAGAGCGCGCGGTGAGGCCCTTCCGAAGCAGAAGGATACCATCTTGGTTTAATAAGTATCACCTGCCAAGAATGGTTATTGGATCTACACATCGAATATTTAATTTTGTATATTCTGTGTGCATAATTGAAAATCATTATTCCCTCAATTCCAGTACGGTTCGCCAAAAAATGATTAGTACCAACCTATGTATGTGTGGTGAATCCAGCGACACAATCGAACAATATATTGCAAATTGTGTAACGATGAATAATCTAAACTCCTGAAGGAGATTCAAAAAATTGTGAAATATGGCCACTATTCATTAATCCCTTTTCTGACCATGCATGATGTGAACTTACTCAGTTGTCTTGGAATCTTCATTATGAATATTAACTGTAATTTATAAATATGTATTAAAGGGCAAAATACTTAGCTTAAAAAGTGTTTAATGGCTTTATTACACCATTTTTTGTATTGTGGTTATGTAAAAATAATTTGAGTCAATAAAAGTATCTATCTATTTAATAGACAGTTGCAATTCGGCCTATGATGAAAAGACACGAGTGAGCTATTGCGTAGCATATCCAGCTTGATCCAATGAGCTTCATGCACTAGTTTGTGTCACAATATTAGCGGTAATTTTAAATGTAGACAGACACTGTTTAGTGATTCCGGGCACGTCTACTACCAGGGTCAATAATCCCGTAAGTGTAATGCATGTTTTTGATCGAGAGGTGGCGTTGGTCTTATCCCGCTGTATGGCGAGATATGTTCAGTCTGAAATAGTCTAAGATAGAAATAGTTCAAAATATCAGAAATTATCAAACTCGAAATGAACTTTTCGACCAAACTTCTCAAAGCATGGATAACAAAATTATCAACAAAGTATTGTTCTACATTAAATTCTGGCCCTCCCCCACAAAAGTTTAATCTCAGCCTACCAGCTAATCCTTATTCACAAAAGTTAGTCACTACGAAGATATGCTGCATTCTGCATTATGTCACGTGGATTATTATTCTAAATCTATCATATATTGTAAGTAAATTCATGTATTAAACTGTTGATTTACGTCTAATATTATTATTTGTACATTGTATTAATATATAATGATGTATTGTTCACATCAAATATTTAATTTTGTATATTCTGTGTGCATAATTGAAAATCTTTAAAGGCAGTAATGTCGAATAAGAATAAATAAATAATTTTAAAAAGATATATCCAACAATGCCCGTCGCACTGGCGCGACGACAATGAGCGCGTACAACCTGCACCAAAATTAATTCGGGCGTAAATGGGCAATTAAAAATTATTTAGGAGTGGCATGAAGCTGTTAACCAGCCGAAAGGATTAAGAATCACCCGTTCCTAGCCCCTTATTCTATAACGTAAGCGTGACTACAGATAACTGCGGACTACTTCAGGTGTAGCTCGTAAAAGAGTCGAGTATGAATACCCGCGCCATGGTAGCTCTCCCTTCACCACCTTGACTGCCATCCAGCTTCTTTGTGTTGCACAGAGAAATGGTATGAAGAGGGGTACTTTAAATGACTGGTGAGTCGTAAACGCGCGCAGGCAATCAAGCATTGACTAGCTGATATTGACAAGCATGACTCAAAGCATTTGTCTGGGTTCAACAGTTAATTCTTGTCCGACCATTGACTAAAACTTTCTATTCGAAAGATGATTCTCATCTCGGAAGAAGATGAAATTTATCTACAGAATACAATGCCCCAGGAAAATCTATAAGAGCTGACAGCGCTCTCTGAGCAGATGTCTGGAGCAGAATTGTAGCGACCGGCTGCTATTATCGGTAGTTTCTGTGGTTTCTCTGATCAACACATGCCAGAGCAGTACCATAACAAACGGGCCATGGACCGTGCGCGATCATTCCTTCCTTTTCCCTGTCATATCCTCACCCCTTATTTACATCCACTTACATTTACATGCTCTACACTACCACACATATGGGGAGACTGGTCGAGAACTTAGAATTTGTTTCGGTTGAAGCGGTGCCCCGCTGGTGAGAGATACCTGGTTGGAGAAAACAGGGCTAGCTGATAGTATGTCGGTGCCGGATCTCGTCATCCAGCAAGGGAAGATCACGCTGCACCCATGGATCATGCACTAAGTTTACGGGAATAATGACCTAAGTAGTCGGCGCGCCCGAAATCACTAATCAATCAATCAAATCAATTTGAGCAGAAGATATTGAAGAAAATGAGTATATGAAATAACTAAATAAAAATACAGTGAAACGAGCATAAGATCGATATGTATTGGGATCAGTCAGGCCCAAATGGCGCGTTATAGCAAAGTTAAAGTAAAGAATTTGGTAAATGTAGATCACAGGATTTGTTCGGAGTGAATTACGACATTAAAACATAGTATGCCCACGTTTCGGCATATTTTCATTCCATCCTCAGGGCTTACTGCAAGATATACATAAGGGGGTGTAACCATTCTATACAGTGTAATAATAGGGAGGAGGGAATAAAAATATTCCGGAACGTCAGCATACTATGTGTTAATATCTTAATTCACCCCGACTAAATCCCGTTATGTACATTTTCCCATTACTACTTCAAGGTCAAGGAATCTACAATGGCACAGGATCTGATTCAAACGGCCTTTCGGGAGGGACAGCGTCATGAAAACAAATTAGGCTTGTCCCCACTGGGACGAGAGCGTGGCGAGCGTGGCGGGACGCACCTGCGCACGCAATGCGCCGCCGTGAGCACGTAGTCGCCGTTGAGCAGCGACCCGCCGCAGTGGAACTTGCCGTCGTAGACGAGGCGCGCGATCCACGGGTAGCGGTTGACCCCCGTGGGGCGGCCGCCCACGATGCGGATCTCCTGGTTCGCCACGCCGCACTCTGCGCGCCGCACGACCGCCATGTGAACAGCGAGAAAAGAGGTTTTTGGTTTTTTAAACATCACCTCGCTGCGCACCGTCTCTTTAGGGTCAGAAAATCAACAATGGGCTATGGACACTAAATTAGCGAAATTGAGGCTACAGAATGCTTTATTGTTTTAGTAACTATTTAGCATGTGAGTATGACACGCAGGATATCAAGAGGAATTTATACATACCGTACGTAAGGACATTAGTCAAACTTTTTAGGCACAAAAAATGACCAAAATTGTGTCTAGTGTTCGCCACTTTGGGAATCTGAATATTTTGTGTAGTCTATGATATGCAAGCTATCAAAAAGAATGTAAACATACATCGCATAGCAATATTAGTCAAAATAATCAGTTCATAGGTGGTGACAAAGAAACTCAGGTTACCCATCTCGAGAAAGAGTGCCCTCCTTTTTGCTTAGAAGGAGGAGGAGGAGGAGAAGAAGGAGAAGAAGGAGGAGAAGAAGGAGAAGAAGGAGGAGGAGGAGAAGGAGGAGGAGGAGAAGGAGATTTAAGTATTAGTAGGAAACAAAATGAAATATAAGATAGTATAACCGTTACAAATAATCCAGGAAGTATGTGCTAATACAGCATCACTAGTTTTGTGTTAGAGTAATGCTTTCATTATCATCCACCAACAGATACTGAACGGAAGATAGGGTGGGGGCAGCGGGCGGTGAGGCACTCACGGCACGTGCAGTTGCGGACGCGCTCCTCGTCATCGTCGTCGTCGTCGAGGGCGCTGGCGCCGCCGCCGCCGCCGTCCAGCCCGAAGATGAAGTCGAAGAGCAGGCGGCCGCCCGTGCCGTTGCTCGAGGTCACCCGCGGCCCCTCGCGCCACGCCTGCGCACACCAACGAAGCAGACTCCTTTACATACGAACCTTCAGCTTTCAAATTGGCAATAAAATTAACATATTCAATAAAGTAAGCGTATTCAATGACGTCCATTCGAAGCTAAGAAGCTGATTCCCTTCCGTCTGCCACACACTCTCCCTCTCTCTCTCCCTCTCTCTCTCCCTCTCTCTCCCTCTCTCTCTCCCTCTCTCTCTCTCCCTCTCTCTCTCTCCTCTCTCTCATCCCTCTCTCTCCCTCTCTCTGCCCTCTCTCTCCCTCTTCTCTCCCTCTCTCCCTCTCTATCATCCCCTCTCCATCCCTCTCTCCTCTCTCCTTCTCCCTCTCTCTCTGCCCTCTCTCAATTCCCCTCCTCCTCTCTCTCCCTCTCTCTCTCCTCTCCTCTCTTCCCACCTCTCTCTCCGCCCTCCTCCCCCCTCTCCCCCTCTCTCCCCCTTCCTCTCCCCATCTCCCTCTCTCTCCCCCTCTCCCTCTCTCTCCCCCTCTCCCTCTCTCCCTCTCACTCTCACTCGCGCTCTTGATCGCTGTAATCTAGTGACAAACATTGTATACAATTTGAAATTAGTTTTTATATGATTATAAATATAACAATACCCTTGACAATGATCGTTTTCAATAATAAATGGATTTGCATTTGAATAGAGATAACAAATTACATGTTGTTAGTTTCTCATAAATTATGAGAGTAAACTCATATATTTGAATAGCCTTTACGGTGAATACTTCAACTCAGTATTATATTCTGTGCATAAAATTACGAATACCGTTTTGAACTTTCTTGAATATTTTAACCGTTATCTGAATGGTTTCGGTCACGTCTAGCCTCAGCTGCAGAGTAATTGCTTCTCGTCTTTTTTACGTTTATCTTTGAAATCATTATCAACATGTAACAAAAAAACGTGGTTGACTTTGTTGATATGTGACTGAACAACTGTACTGTAACACCAATTTCTTCTAATTTTTTAAATGATTTTCGAACAATCTTGAACATGTTAATTATCTCTGCTAGATCCTACACATTTCAGATTAACCTAAAATATTTAATCATATTTAAAAAATTATGTCATAGCAATCAAAAATATTTATTTGTATCACATATTGTTTCACACATGAACACTACTGAGAAATATTCGATATTAAAAAGTGGCGTATGTCGTGTACACGTTATGAATCGTAACACATATTCACACATTCAATTGCATGAATGGCTTAATCTGTTTCGTAAGTTTATACAATGTTGGCACACCAATCATATTAGGTCATGCAGTGTATATCAATATTCGTCACACGTGTCGACATGGAAGAGACATATTAGAAGAGCTACTTGCTCCGCGCTTTCACTTTTTCCATATCTACACTCCCTCGAACTACACTTGCATGGAAGAAAGATACCTGCACGTAATGAAGCGCCTGCGCATAACAAATTTTATTACAAACTTCGCTTGTAATAAAAAATTGTTTAAGAAAATGAATTCAGAAATTGATCATGATTAAGAGTCTATGAATAATAGTCTTGATTTAGTCCATATGAATATGAAGGCTTTACGAACTCGTATCCTTAGGGACTAAGACACTTATAGAAAGTAAATATTTGCCTACAATAACGTATAATACGCTACTAAAGAATCAGGTGTGTACTGTAGAAAAAATATGATTGTTCTATTTGGCCCTTTAGTTTAGAACAAACCTTTTCGACTATTTCAACAGGCGCGTGAAAGTTAACAATTTGTAAAACAATTGCCTACGCAAATGAAGCTAATGGAGATCCATAGACATGACTTATTGTTGTCAACGAAAATTGAACAAGATGCAGGCTGCATAAGAATGTCTCAGAAATCGTAAGGGACCAATTGGACACACATCGTGACGTCTTGAGATTCCGTTTGCAAACTATACATGATGTTCTACTGTAATGTCAAATACATGATGTTCTACTGTGATGCACAATGGATGTTACTTCTTCTTCAACGTTATCCTTTACTTGTTTTTGAAAAAGCTACCTGCCTGATACGCGTTATCACAATCCGCCGCGTTGTTAGTAATTCAATTACTTTTGTGATAATGAACGTGTGTTAAACACAAATTATTTCTTCAAGTGTCAGTGAAAGTTCGTAAATAATGAATTTTATTTTTAGATTTGCTGATGGTGGATATATTGACCGAGAAATTAATCTTTTGAATAATTAATATTCATTGTTACGACATGAAAATAATAATGTTTTACACTATGAGCGTTAGAATTCTTAGAAAACCCAAGAGTAAACAATCATCCTTCTGCCAAAAATAGAGACAGATTAAAGAGATTTTTTTTAATGTATTTCAAATAATATTTCCACTTTCTTCTATTCTGTAATTCCAAAATTAAGATAAAAACAACGTTTATACGTACATGCATTGGATGGACAAGAAGTGCTTTAACAGCAAATACTTTCTCGCAATATTATAATGATATTACGTAGGACGGTACGCCCAAATATGCTTAATTAATTTCAAACAGAAATTTCGCGAAAACTTCTCACTTTCACCAAAAATATATATGATCTTTTTTAAACAGCTATTTCTGAACGACAGACTGTTTGAGTCAAAAAGATCCATCTTAAAATTTGTATTTTTGATTTTTTTTCGCAGTTTTCGAAGAATACTAGCAATACCCGAAAATGTGGCTAGTACAATATTTTTAGATTTCCTTATTAGATATTTGGAGAAAATTTAAAAAAAAAAATTGAAGCGGATTTTGAGAAAAAAATATTGCGATCATTTTCGGAGCTAATTATTGTAGCTCACATTTTCGGAGCTAATTATTGTAAGCTAAACATTGTAGATGAACTTTTTCAAAGAGCTAATTTGTAAAATAATACTTTGTCTGAGGCAAAAGTCTCTGTTTTCAATTTTGTAGCTTTAATTTATTTATTTTTATTTATTTATTTAATTATTATTTATTGCAATTTTCGAAAAATTGGGGAAGTAACGCCAAACAGAATCTGCTCCATTCTCTTAAATGTCCTCCGCACTATTCAACAATAAATTTTAATTAAAAAAGTATGGAGCCATTTTTTTTAATTTTGAAGATGTACGGTTCATGTAAAGTACTCCCTAAAATTAAAATATCGGTTGGACGTTTGTCCGTCAATAGATTTTACTTTCTCGCATTTTTCAGTAACAAGGATGCACAAAACATAAATTTTGGCTATACCACGTGTTAGAGGATTTTTTCTATATTTAACAACTGGATTTATCATTTTATTAACCCCTTTTTCGTTACTGGGGCCCGGCTATAAGAGATTTCTTGTCGAAAATTCACACAAATTTTCCGACACACACTTCCGGCGCACCATTAGAATACTTCCTCTCTTACGTTCTTAGGACTCTCATCACTAGCTACATAGATAGGTCGAGTTCAATCACTGTCTGGAGGAGACTTCTAGCTGCTCTGACCGATAGTTTTCCGTGGTTTCTCCGATCAAAACCAGACGAATGCCGGAGCACCATTCATAAACGGGCCACGGACTGCGAGCAATCATTCCTTCCTCTTCCTTGCCCTATCCTCGCTCCCTACTTACACTAACATACACAACACTACTACATGCCGGGAGATCGACCGGGCGCTTAGAGTTTGTCCCGGCTGAGGCGGTGCCCCCCATTAAGAGATATATGGTAGGGGAAATTTTCTCTGGCCGACAGTAGGGCGGCGCCGGATCTTACCTAGAGGGGAAGATCACTGCCACCCCGAGGAAAATGTGCACTACACTTACGGGACTAAAGACTTTAGCCGTTGACGCGCCCAGAATCACTAACCTATCAATCAATTAAATTATTACAAAGATGAAAGTTAGATAAAATATTTTATTCACGGCATCTAAGTGCTTTTGATCGCTCGGTTCTCGTCGATTTGTTTCTCATATATATTCCTCGTATAAGAAAATAGTAATTATGCTATTGTGACACTGTGGGGCCAGACTTACGTCTGGCGCGTCTACCAATCTCGGGAACGAGGCCATCAGAGGCCGCAACATCATTTTCAGAGCAGTCTTATCATTTAATCTTAATAATTTAAGAGGGATTAGGGAGCGACAGGGAGCCATACACTTTTTTCATACATTCAAAGGAAAGTCTCGCTCTCATCTCAATGAGAGGTGAAACCACCGGTATGCAAATGGTACTACCGTTGAATTTCACTGTTGATCAGTCACATCACTTTCTCGGTATAGTTTTCTGAACGCTAAAGAACTGCGTACCTATTTAATAGACCAAAATTGTAGAATTGAATGTAATTGAAAATATAAGGTTCTTCTACATGTTTAAGATGAAACGAGATATCAGTGTCATGATTCATGAAACTGCTCAATTATATTTATTGATTTTTTTTCTAGGAAGAATCAAGTAGGTTGAAGAGAAAACACATGTTAACAACATTTCTTATGTCGAAATTAGGCAATGAAAAGAAAAACCGAACTACCACTTTCCCTGATTACTCAGGCGATTTCTTTAAAAAGAAATTCGTGGTTTGTGGTTAGTCAACAGTTTCGTTTGTGGATAACATCAGACAACAAAGTGGAAATAAATTGTGAATGTAACAATCTTAAGAAATGTGTTTGTAATAACTCCAATTTCTAGTACTAATATTTTTCCTGGGCGTATTAATTTCATGGATCCATGTGTATTCATCTTATGCTTTTGAACTATTACACTATTTTACTAATGATGACACTGATATCAAGTTGAATCTTATATAATACATTTATTTCATTTTATGGAATGCCATAAAGGCTGAGTAATTTTACAAATTTACAAATTAATAATATTTAATTAAATCTTTTAAATATGGTTTTGTAAAAACAATAAATTAACCATTGAGTTAGTAACCTTGTACATTTATTTTAGCCTCAATTAAATGTGTTTTGAAAGTTTTATTTACAGGAAACATACATATATGGCTATGAATATGTACATCTCCGGAGATTTTGTTATGTATTAATAATACTATGAGTTT